AAACAGCATGAAGAATCAGTCTGTATAGAGAAGAATTTGCCCCATCTGGCTCTGTACTGTGAGGTTCTGCTCGTCGCCTGAACCTAAAGCAGAAGTTAAATCAAAATACTCTAACGTCTCCATGTTTCTGGAGGCTTTTGCAGCAGAGAGGTCACAGTAATATTTAAATCTTTTTGGTGTCTCCCTGCTTTAAATTCATGCTTTTGAAGAATAAGAACTGGTTGATATCCAGGGAGAAACGTTACGTTTTAGAAAGTAAAACGATCAATTAAAGGAAGCCCATAGTAGTTTATGCTGCATATTAAGGGCCTTTTCTGAGCAACGGTCCTTATGGAGAGGGGAGAGTGAAAGCACGGTCCAAATGTGGATAAATGCCTGTTTTTAGGGTGAGGAAGGGGTTTGGAGGAATGCTGTGAATGGTGTTTTGGTTTAGGTGAGGCATCAATTAAATGGACATTGATGCAGAGTCCCACTGCAGGTAGAAACACAAGTCTGTGCATGGACTGTGGCTCTGCTGGGACCCCGGCCTGCCCCTACTGATGAACGACCACTTTCTCAACGATCGATGATCCCAGAGGGGCCCATCCCTCCTGTTACCATGCCAACACGCTGCGGCTCTGTTATGATTGAGGACTCCAAACAGCATCTCCTCAGGACATCCCATCCTCCCCCTCCATCCTTCCTCTCATTTGTTACTCCTCTCTCTTTCTCTTTTCTCCTCCCTCCTCTCACACCCTCCTTCACTCTGTTTCACATCGATCCCTTCCTCAGCTCCTGTTTTTTTCCTCCCTTTTCACTGTTTCCATGCCTTTAAGCTCCTCTTTTTTGTGTTTACATCTTATTATAACTACCTTGTTACTCATATATTTGATGATGCTGAAGAGCTGCAACGCAGCCTAACCAACAGAGTAAATAAACTAAAGGAAATACACCTATAAAATCCTCAGTGCCATAATTATAGTATTACTCTGTACTGCGGTTAGTCCTTAAAAACATCTAGGTTTCAGTTCTGAGGACTAAGATTGTCGTTGTGATTTTGTTTGCAGCTGATGAAGCGTTTGATGAGTTTATTGGTTCATATAGTTGGGTTCTTTTTAGATATCTGATATTTTTAGATCAGTTTTTGCAGAGTTTATAATTCAAAGCTTTATATTATGATTCCTGGAAGAGAAACAGGCCCACAGCACCACAACCCCTCCACTGTACCAGGCCCTAAGCACAGAGTTGTAGTTATTTAGATACTGGTAGAATTAAATTGAAATTAAGGTATCTAAATTTTACAGATAAAGCAAAAACCAAAGATTAAAAGTAATGAAATATGAATCATTGTTTCATATAGAGACAAACTCCTGACATTTTCTGACATGGACCCCGAACTCATCTGAAAAATCAACCTGAGAATGGAAATATTGCTGTGAACTTATTCTTAAAAAAAAAACTAAAGAAAAAATCCCTAAAAACCTGAGAGGAAAAATATATTTTAATGCATAGCATCTCTCTCTGGCATACTGATGAAGACCTTGAATTATCTAGTTCATTATCCATAATTTAAGTTTATTTTGTAGTCTGTGTGCAACAGTATAAGCTCTATGACTCTGTGGGATTTGTTGTGATCTACAAAGACAATCAGGCATTTTGTTAGCCACAGCAAGTATAGCATTATTTATAGAGGATGAAAAAGGAACATCAAGTGAAAGAACTTAAACAATATTAAACAATAACCTGTTCATCATTGTTAAATGTGTGCAACCAGAGTCTGCTTATCCAATACTGAAACTGGACAAGCAGAACGTTTTTGCTGCTAAAAAGCAAATAGCGTCTTTGTACTGAGGCACTTTGTGGGTTACATAAATGGTGGGTTATGGAAGCATCTAATGCATAACATTTACCCTTGGTTATGTGTTTTTAATTAGTTTCTGCTGAACCAAAATGTGTCACATTTTCACAGAGTAAATCGGTTTTCCTGTTTCTGCATGCATGTAAAAAGCAGAGCATGTTGCTTCGCTTAGTAAATTCCCACCTGAGAGCAGAATTATTCAGACTTTCTTACATTTTTGGTCTTTATAAACCTTTAAACACTTAATTTTTATTTGTTTAATCTTTCTTTTAATCTCTTAACATTTTATAATGTTCGTCTACTTTTTTTGCTTCTTTTATTTATTTCCTTCCTTGTTCAAACTCAACTCTGCCTTTTTGTCTTCCCTCAGCGTAAAAAGGCTCACAGTCATAATTGGACCTTTGGCTTTCCATTAATCAAATCCAAAACCGATTTGAGGTAAAATCCACATCAGCAGAAACACAGTCGCACTTTATGAGACAGTGATTTAGATTTAGGAGCCTGAGGCTTCAGTTCAGTAATTTAACAGTAAGGTATAAGGACACATTCAGCTGTTGACCTTGAGCCAGATAAATACAGTGGAGCCAAAAAGTATTTAATCAGCCCCTGATTGTGCAAGTTCTCCTACTTAGAATAATTAGAGATGTTTGTAATTATCATCATAAGTACAGTCTGACTATAAGAGACAAAATGAGAAAAAAAAATCCAGTAAATCACATTGGTGTGTGACAGTTTGAGGCTGTTGACAAGTGTGTTTTATACAGATAATGGGTTCAAACAGATGCCAATAATACAGGTAACGGGTGGAGAAAAAAGAGCTTCTTAAAGAAGAAGTTATAGGTCTGTGAGAGCCAGAAATCTTGCTGGTTTGTATTCGACCAAATGCTTATTTTCCACCATAATTTACAAATAAATTCTTTACAAATCCTACAATATGATTTTTTTTTCTCATTTTGCCTCTCGTAGTTAAAGTGTGCCTATGATGGAAATTACAGAGAAGTAGGGAGAAGTTGCACAATCAGTGGCTGACTAAATACTTTTTAGCTCCACTTTAAATCTTCATTCAAGAGAAACAGTCTGAATGAACTGATTTAGCTTAGAGCACAGGGCCCCTAACAACACTCAGGGAATTGAGTTTTAAGCTTTAAATTGGAACCTGTTGGCTTCATTTGCACCTTTTCACAACTGAGATCAGCCTATGTTTGGATTCATCTGTGAATCGGTGAAGGTAAAAGAAAACAAGGGTTTGGAAAAATGACTCTAACCCCTGTTTGGTCTGTAGGCAGATTCGCTCTGCAGTGTTTTTCTGCCATGATGCTACAGTAGAGAGCAAACATGGAGGGCAAACATGTTTGCTGATGTTCCGTATGAGGGGTTGTTCCTTTTCCAGCTGCTGATGCGTGAATGCTCCAGGAAAAGGCTTTCTGTTTAATTTTAGCCACGTTCAGATGATATGTGACAGATCTTCTGATATGATGGGATCAAAAGGGACTGAAGAAGGATCTTTAGAGGCCGCCTCTTTTTATTGACTTTCAGACACCTCATGAGGAGTAACATAAATCACCTCCTTCTTTAGACACAATCTTTTCAACATGCTGCCATATCAATCATCCATTAGCCTGTTCAGACTGTTTTTAAGTTTTTTTCAGGAACATATGTCTTCATTTTTCTGATCACTCTGAGTATAAACTGCTAGCTTAGGAAGTCACTTCGAGTCAAACCTGAGGCTTCAAGTATTCCACTCTGGTTCATTGCCTGGTGCAGAATCCTAACACCAAACCCCAGAAATTATGTTGGATGTGTGGAAACGAGGAGCAGTTTCTGCTTTAATCGTTAAGGTTATCAGATTAGACTCAGTTTGAAAATAGTCCACCTGAGGCAGAAGAGAACTAAGCCACTGCTTAGGGTCCGAAGGAAACAAGAAGGCCCCCAAGAGCAATTCATTCGTTTTTCATTTATAATGATTGTTATATATAGTAACAAAAACACAAACTTTCATTATAAAATTCTGCTTTTTTACAAATATATCTCCTCAATCATGTTTAGAATTACTTATAAATGATAAAATAAAGGTAGTTTATGTTTTCCAATAGAGCTCTAGCATATTTTACATCGTTTTAAGAGCTAATTAATCTACTTATTTAAAAATATGATCGAAATTTGATTGTTTGATTTATTTATGTCTATTTTTTTACTATTTACTTAATTATTTTTATTTATCAAAGCTATTTAAAATGTTTTTGGTTGTTGCTTCACTACAGGTTATTTTTGCTCCTTGCTGTCACAGGTGGGATTTAATAATATAAACTATGTGACAATTTTATGTGGTTAAACTGCATATTATCAAAAAATGGGAGACTGTCAAGAGTTTATATTTGGTCTTTGAATGATCCGATAATCCCCCTGTTGGTTGCAACCCGTACAATCGATATAAATAGGCCCCAAAATGAATAATTAGCAGCACAGAGACACACAACCATTCATGCACACACTCACACCTAAGGACAATTTAGAGAAGTTTTTGGACTGTTTGGAAGCCAGAGTACCCGGAGAGAACCCACGCATGCTCAGGGAGAACATGCAAACTCCACGCAGAAAGACCCCGGGCTGTGGAATTGAACCCAGAACCTTGTTGCTGCAAGGCATATATATATATATATATATATATATATATATATATATATATATATATATATATATATGATCTTTTAGTTACCATTTGTTTTTGGTCTTAATGGGGAATTTAACAGCTTTAACGTTCTACAGGAAAGTTGGAACGACTACAACCAGCACAGAGGCAGGAAAACAGAGATTATCATGTTTAAAGTCACTTTGCCTGGTTCTAGGAGAACTTTGAGAAGATGAAACCCAAAAAATATAAAAGATGAAAAATATCCAAAAATTAATATAGCTATAAATCTATAGAACACACATAGATGTTCAGTTGTATTTTCTGCTGTGAAAAATATAACCTAATAATGTCTTTTTTGTTTGCTCTGGATGTTGTGAGAATCAGACAGTCTTCATGATATTTGAATAGCTTTGATCTATTTTCATCCGATTCTTCTTCTGCTTCACTGCATCTCTACCTTCCTGTATTTTGCTCTGATTTAACAAGAACAAAAGGAAATAAAAGGGATTCATTTTTTTTGTCTGTTTGCAGGTGAGCTCGTTGCATCGCTTTCAGCTTTACCCAGATCCCATCTCAGCCTAATCCCATCATCCTCTTCTTCATCCATCCCTCTCGCTGCCCGTGGGAACCCAGCATCGCCATGTCCACCTTTGCCCCTTTCCTCCTCTTCCTCCTGCTCCTCTCCCCGCTGCCTCCCTGCCAGCCGGAGTCGCAGCGCAGTGACCCCAGCGCTGACCCCAGTCTGAGGGCCGCTCTGCCCTCCTCCTATCCTTCCTCCTTCTCTCCATCCCTGGCTTATGGGAACAGCACCGCCCCTGCCCTCAAGGATAAGTGTAACCAGGAGACGGTGTGTGAACCGGGAATTCTGCTGCCCGTCTGGAAGCCGGATAATCCTGGGCTCGGTTATCAGGTGGCCAGAGCCGTGGTCTACTTTGTTTCTCTCATGTACATGTTCCTGGGAGTGTCCATCATCGCAGACCGCTTCATGGCGTCCATAGAGGTCATCACATCGCAGGTGGGAGGAAAACACAGAACCAGGTGCTTTCTACCAGTTTTGTGAATCAATCGGCTTAGTTAATATTATAAAATGACACATTCATCTGTCTCGCAATAACTATTTTACTTACAAGCAGTAAATTCTTTATGGTAAATGAATTATTAACAGCTTTTTAGGGATTTTGAAGGATTTCTTACTGTTTATTTTTGGATTTCTGATGCCCTGATGAACAAGGGGACAGATTGTTTTATGGAAACAGGAAAGGACCAGTTAAGTCCTGTCTTTTAGTGGTACAAACAAAATAAAGCAAACAGCAGAACCTGAGAATAGCATCAGCCTTTAGTTGACCATCTCCTAATTGTTTTCACTCTCTGAATGTGAAAGGCTGCTGCCCATCTAAGGATCTATTAAAATAGTTTTTTTTCTCAAATTGTCTGTAGAAATCAATACAACACAGGTAGGTGCCATAACTTTTTGATGTTGACCAAAATGTAGATGGGAGTAAACTAAGCAGAAGGAGGGGAGAGTGACCCAGAGGACGTCTTTTTAAAGAATAAAAGTAAAATGCAGATTTGCACAACAGAGAAAGGCAGACGGCTCCCATGGAGGAGCAGAGATCTGCGGGAAACCTGCCAATAGCCGAGAGTTATTGGACTAAGAATGTTTATTCCATCCTTTTTCTACAGCTTGTCTGTCAGGTTTAGGGAGGGGCTGGTGCCGATCTTCAGCGGTCTATGGATGAATGGCGGGGTACCGTGAACACGTCTCCAATGTTTATAGGAGTTTATATTCCATTCTCTATGTTCAAAGGTTCAAGGATTAAAAGTATTAAAAATGATTAAGGCATTCATTACACTAACACTAAAAACAAAAACTGAAACGTGACTGATGATATATGATGAGAATTTAAATTTGGTAAAGACCCAGAATACTTTACGCAGAAAAAGACAGAGTTCAAAAGGATTTATTTTCAAATTAAAGAGTGGTTTGCTGATTCTTGGACACAATAACAGAGATGAGAGACCAGAGTGGGGTAATAAGCAGAGAATATTGATAAATTACCTGGTGTCAAAGCACAGCTCCAACAGGATGGCTTTTAGAATGGGGGCTAAATCTCTTGGGAAGATTTACAGAAAGCAGAAGTAATGGAATCCACAGTCGAACAATTTGAGGTCCTTAGGCTGCCCAGGGTCATGGTCAGGTGAAAATACAACACTGTTGGGTCAAGGTCACTCAGACAAAGAATTTACAATCCTGTGGGCTTAATCAGGGTCAGAGTTTAGGTGAGGGATCAGAAATAAACTCAACACACTCAAATAGTTATCTCCGCTTGTTGTAACTGCTACAATGTACGGCCTTATATCAGCCAATAGAAATTGACTTGTCTTCTCAAGTAATCATTTTGTGGTAACATGACACATAGTATGTTTTATTTATTACTTATCAGAGTTTAGCACATGCGTAACAAGTATGAAAAGCCATAATCTGTGGAGCACCAACATGGAGCAATAATGCTGCAGCTGCAACAGAGGGAGATGGCATTGAAGAAAATTCCTGCTCAATGTATAAGTTTATATTCAGTCTCTTTGGCGGGGGGGGGTTACATTTATTAAAAGCACTCTCCTCTCTGTTGTGCCATTTGTAGATCACTAAAATAAGATCCACATTCCTAGTCAGAACTGTAAAATCAGATTTCAGCAGAAGTCTGCTTCCACACATGTATGAGATTAGAGGAACATATAACAGAGAACATAACAACAGCAAAAAGAAGACAACAGAATCATAGTTAGCATTAAAAATAGGCTGCAAGAGCAGCAGGTATACTTTAGATATCCACATGTGGAAGGCAAAATCTATAGTGATTACACAATATTATTCAGGAAGTATATATCTGTAGCTGCACTTCTGCACTTTCTTATTTATTATTAGTGTGTCAAATTTGATTTTTGCTCTGGAGTTCATTAGATCCACGTCACATAGTCTGTAATGGAATATTCTTATAGAATTCCAGAACTCGCAAGGTGTACTGAGGATTTGAGGGGATCCTGGTAGGAGCTGTTTAAATCCAAAATGTAGGTTTCAGGTTTTGTTTCTAATTGTGAATCTGTTCTGAGTTATCAGGTTCTGACTTTTAAAATGCAGAATGTCACCTTTATGTTCCTACAGTGTTTCAGTATCATGAGATCTTATGTGAACCATCTAGAGTCATTCCAACCAGGAAAGACTTTAGATCAATGGAGAACAGGAATAAAGCCATCATTTGGTATCATAATTTCATTAGGTGACATTTGTCTTTTGAAAGATACTAAAACAAAATACATTTGATGACTTGATTCTTCTTGAAAAGACAAGAAAATAATTTAGGAAAAACCTAATGGTAGAATTGCTGGATTTTAGAAATCAGTTGCAGCTCCTTGGCATTTACATCTTCACCTCAGTGTGTCCGCAAAGGCCGTCTCACCCTATTCAGCTCATCGTCTGAGCTGGGCAGATAGGGGAAGACAGAACGAATTGAGGTTGTATTGGCCATTATGGAAACGTAGCCAGATAAATTGGAGGCAAGTAGAAGAAGATGATAACAGAATGAGCAGCTGAAAGGGAAGTGGGGACAGTGAGTGAGTCTTGCCCCAACTAGACTGCCTCCATTCTGCTCAAGGTCAGGGTGAATTAATGTCGAGGCAGATTCCCAGTGATCCGTCACTGCAGCAGAGACCTCAGGCCCATTTAGCAGGAGCTCTGTGAATCTCTGTGAGTTTGGTTACTACTCTTTATCAGTAATAACTAATGTGGATTCCTCTGAGGTTCTTATTGGGTTTAAGCTTTTTTTCCCCTGTAATAAATATTAAAAAAACACCCCTGATAAAACAAATAATATAGTACCTCCAACAAAACATTGAGAATATGTTCCAGTAATAAACACAACTTCCTGGACTTCTATATGTTTCTATGTCAAGGTTTTCTATTCAAACAAATGAAAACATGATCTAACTTTGCTGACATTACTTCTCCCCTCAATGTCTGTTGAAGTGATTGGTGTGTTTTTGTGTTTTACAGGAGAAGGAGGTGACCATCACCATGCCTAACGGGGAAACATCCGTGGCAACGGTTCGAATCTGGAACGAAACTGTCTCCAACCTGACTCTAATGGCTCTGGGCTCCAGCGCTCCGGAGATCCTGCTGTCTGTGATAGAGGTGAACATTATTCCTAAATCAAATGTGTTGAATTTCCGTGTTGATTTTGCATGTTTAAAGTACAGCGTTAATACAAAACTAATTTTGCTTAATTCATTTATATGAAACTTAGTTCCTCCAGTGGGCTGGTGTAAATCTGCATGGTAAGATTTAAGGCCCTCTGTTAAGTGTTGATTTTAAAATAAATATTTAGCAAAGTTTTATCCAGAATGCCAACCTTCCTGTGAACTCTTATTTCTTAGTGTACTAACCTAAGTGTACTAACCGCCGTATCAGTGGACTCAGAGGTTGAGGCACAGGATACAGATTTTCATCAAACATCTGAGGTCCTTGAGTCCTTGGGAAGGACACCCAAAATGCATCTGTGAAGTATTGATGGCGTTCAGAGGGCCTGGTAGAGCCTGATTACAGCAGCCTTGCTTCTGTCAGCATGCCCCATGGCAGCTGTGGCTATAATGTATCAAACAGCATAGGATTCACTTCCACTGTTATGCTGATGATACTCAGCTATATTTGTCAATAAATTCTGATGAAGTGTTAACATTAGTGTGTGGTTTTAACTTTTGACACTATAACCTAGTGGTTGCTAAGTTCAACCCTGATAAGTGTTGAAGTGTCATTCCAACTATTTTAAAATGTTAACTGTTTAACACTTTTAAAAGTGTTAGATTTGACTCCATGGGAGTTGAATTAAGTCAAAAGACAATTATTTCTACTTTGTCTGAATTTGGAATTCAAAATATTTAAGGTCATCCAGGTTTGTAGTTAGCTGTAGCTGTAGTTGATCTAACAGGTAAGAGTGCTTGGCCAAATATAGCATAGTGTCATCAGCATAAAAGTGCAACTTCTATACCGTCTGACTAATTCAAACTATTGATATAGCAAAACTAATTGGGCCTATTAGTGAAATATTTATATCATCTTTATATATCATTAACATTAACAAACTGGAATCTTTTCACACAGTTAAAAGTTAAACCATTTTCATAATTTATTTCAAAGTGTGCATCATTTCTTCACAGGTGTGTGGTCACAAATTCGAAGCAGGTCAGCTTGGACCGGGCACCATTGTTGGAAGCGCCGCCTTCAACATGTTTGTGATCATCGGGATCTGTGTATGGTCAATCCCGGTAGGCCAATCGCGGAAGATCAAACACCTCAGGGTGTTCTTCATCACTGCCTTCTGGAGCATCTTCGCCTACATATGGCTCTACCTCATTCTGGCTGTTATTTCACCAAGCGTGGTGGAGGTGAGGCTGCCTGTTTGACCAAAAGCCCCCAAAAAAATTATCAATAACAATATTTTTATATATAAATTATATAGCAATATCCTCTATCCAGACCTCCTCAGGTGGCTTGGTCTTAGCTTCACCCAGTTTAAATGCTGTATATAATATTTAAGTGACCTTTTGAGATCCGATTAATAATGGCTTCATTAAAAAAAGAAAATTAACAGATTAATCAAATAGTAGAAAAAAAATAATTAATTGCAGCTCTACTCATTATAGCTCTCATTCAATGTGTATCATATTGTAATGATGAACTGTGCTGATGAATGCACCTGGAGTACAGGTGGAAAATAAAGATTCTTTGCTTCTGATTCTCCTCTGCAGCCCAGATGTGCAGGTTTTGACCATGCATGGATGGATGTTTGTTTTCATTTTTTTGTGCTGTAGGTCTGGGAGGCCCTGGTGACGCTTCTGTTCTTCCCGGTTTGCGTCCTCCTGGCCTGGATCGCCGACCGCCGTCTGCTCTTCTACAAATACATGGGCAAACGCTACCGAGCCGACAAGCGCCATGGCATCGTCGTGGAAACCGAGGGGGACTTGACCCCTACCAAAGGCGGCATGGAGATGATAATGGATGGCAAGCTGCCACCCCGAGGAAGCGCAGTGGTCCCTGCTGAGAACGGCGGGGGCGGTGCTCAGGATGGCACGGCGGGCGCCACGGCGAACAACATCAGTGCTGCGGCGGGAGCCAGGGGCAACCTGCCAAACTCCAACAGCACCACCGTGAATGTGGAGAGCAGCAGGGAGCTGGATGAGAGCCGCAAGGAGGTTAGAAAAGCAGAGCTAAACTGAGAAGATGAGAGGAAGTTCAGTCAAACCTCTTCCTCCTGTTGACTCTGAAAGTGATGCCTGAACTATTTATGTCGTCTTCTGCAGATGATTCGCATCCTGAAGGAGCTGAAGCAGAAATATCCGGACAAAGAACTGGACCAACTCATGGAGCTGGCCAACTACTACGCCCTGCTTCACCAGCAGAAGAGCCGCGCCTTCTACCGCATACAGGTACCATCACAAGGCTGTGATTAGATCATGAACTACAATTAGAAATTCATGATTCACATTTAATCAGCTCCCGATCAAATCAGTTTTATTCATGACTCCAGTTTAACTTGTCTTGTCTCCTCAAGGCGACCAGGATGATGATCGGAGCTGGAAATGTCCTGAAGAAGCATGCCGCCGACAACGCCCGCCGGGTGGTGGTGGCTGACGAGGAGGAGGATGAAGAGGATGACCTGGCTGTCTGCAGCCACATCTCCTTTGAGAGCGCCCACAGTCAGTGCATGGAGAACTGTGGCGTCCTCACTCTGGCTGTGGTCTGTCAAGGTAGTGACACCAGAAGGTTACAGATGAGTTCACATGGATAGACTGAAAGATTTCCCTTCTTAAGTTGTTCATTACCATTGAACTGAAATTTTTATCAAGTTTTTGACATTTTTTGGTTTCAAATAAAGAGAAACATTTTGCAAAATTGAAAGTGCCAAAAGAGACAAGGTAAGGGATATGGAAGCTTTAAATTGCTTCCGTTTGCACTATAATCTGGCTCATTTTGATCCAGCGTCTGGTTATATTTCCATTGTTTTTAAGTCTTAGATGTGTGCCTTGAGACATCATGTGTAGTTGGTCCCCAGATTGCCAGTCCTGTCAGAGGGATTCTGGTCCACTTGTCTAGACAGAGACACTCCAAGTAATTTTGGGCCTCTGTTTAAAAATTCAAAGCTGCAGCCTCCTCCTATTTTCTGTAGCACAGAGGTCTTAAGATGGCAAGAGCACACCAGGATTCTTCTATCATCACTCCTTTTTCATGGTGTGTGTAGTGAAGTGTCTTGTGTCTAAGGCAGATCTGCAATGAACACAGAGTTTAATGATAATACTTCCACCTCTGCTTTTAAACATCGGCATGGCACTCACTGAGAAAAACTACTCCTTCTTGAAGCATGGAGGGCTGATTTGATGCAACACAACTCGACTTTGTTCTCATCTGACTGCTGAACTTTCATTCATGCCTTTTTTGAACCACTTAAATCTTCGGCAGGAATATTTCTCTGTGTTTACCTTCAACAACAGGACAGTAAGATATTCCTATCAATTACCCTGTGCTAACTTCTCCTGCATAGTTATGAAGGCAGACTGAGGGGCACTGATGGTCATTTGCATCGATTGCATCAATAGTTGTCCCTGATGTCAATGGGAAGGCTGGTTTGTCTTCCTAACTGAGTTAGAAAGGATTAACTTTCCCTCATTGTTTGAAACATGAGCAGGAAATAAAACTGCCTGACCCAAAGATTTTTAAACCCAAACATTTTCAGCTAAACTTGGAGAAAGGGCAAGATTCCAATCATGGGAAGTTTTAGGTTTCTACTGTACAGTTCTCTCATTTGAGAATTTCTTGCAGATTCAGATTCTTTCTATATATATATATATATAAAAAAAAAAATATAAAAAAATATATATATATATATATATATATA